GGGGGGGGGGGGGGGGGGGGGGGGGGGGGGGGGGAGCGGCGGCGGCGGCGACGACGGCTCTCCCCCAGCTCAGCTACATCTGCGTACTCCAGCAGTTAAATTAGACTCTAATTGTATCAACGGGAGATATGCTTTCCAGTGGGATTTTTATAATCTCTCTCTTTCTGTGGATTTTACAGATTTTAAGGGGCAGAACCACCAAGGAGGTTATGGGGGAGGAGGAGGAGGAGGGGGGAGAGGAGAGGAGAGGAGAAAGGGAGGGCTAGAAAAAGCAGCTCATTGAGGGTTTGCGGGTTTGGCTTTTTTTATGAGCTGCGATCATGGCTGCCTCTCATTACACTGGGTCTGTGTACAAATAAGAGAGGAGGAGAGCCAGAATGAGAGTGTTAGTGAGGGGGTGTGTGTGAGAGTGTGTGTGTGAGTGTGTGTGTCCCAGTCTGCCAGGCTAATGTAGCCATGCTAACACTCTGGATGCCAGAGCACACTCTTCCACTACACACACACACACACACACACAAGGCAACAATCTTAACAAGGATTTGGGTGTGTGTGTGTGTGTGTGTGTGTGTGTGTGTGTGTGGATGAATTCCATCTAATTACTCTATCACATAATTTCACAAATTGCCTTTTCATTGGGGAGTGAGGAGCAGAGCACGGCCCAGGATGCACTGGGGATTTCTAGGCCTAAGCCTTCATTTACTACTTCATTCCTTGTTAAATTAAACAAGAAAATAACTAATTTGTGGGGGAGAGGAGGGAGAGGCAGAGGTGCAGTCCAGTGGCACAGCAGCCCAGCTCCTGGTACCAGCTCCTGGTTCCAGCTCCTGGTTCCAGCTCCTGGTACCTCCATGGCAAAAAGTTGCCAATGAATCAATCAAATGTGAGGATTTATCCATATCAGAATTTTTTTTTTTTTACAAATATAAATAATTTAAAACCAACTTTCAAATCAAAGTCAGACTAAAATAATGTTAGTTAATGTTTGTTAACAGCAAAGCAACATTACATCGCTGTTTTCGTTAACGTAAGATCAGCAGAAAGAAAGTGATCCAAATAATGACGCTACGGCTATAACATGAGCGGTGCTGTAAGTGACTGTGGAGTGTGTGTTTGTTATTGTGTTTCTATTGATCAATGTCTGTATGTGGAAACTTTTTTTTTCCTGTGGGTTTTTTATTAAAGAAAAAAAAAAAGTCCAATTTAAATGTTCTGTCCTGCTTTAACCCAGTGCTGTTCATGAAACACTCTCAATATGGTTCATATTAAGACAATAAAATTTTTTTTTTTTAATAAGGATGGGGGGCAAACACA